TGATTATACTTTACTATGAGTAGGGTCTTCTTTAGTGACAAAAATATCAAGATTTTCTATTTAAATAAATTTCACTTCCAAGTTTTACAATCTAATTATTATTTTATTTTAATTTGGGATACATTACCACTGAAACTTATAAATTTCTAATTCAAATTATAGAATCACAAGTTACAAGTTATATAAGTATAAAAATACTCTTTTATTACATATATAGATGTAGTTTAAAAATATCAACACATATAATATAAATCAAATTATTATCGAAAGTCCAAATTAGTTTATTTTTTAAAGTTCAATCGAACAAATCATTGTCTAAAACGAAATAAATCAAACCATTCTATGAAATTCAATTTTAAAAAGATAATGATAACTAAATATTTGCAATATCATTAAAAATGTAAAAGAAAAATCATAGTAGAATTACATAAATAATTTTAAAAAATAAATAAATGGGCCTATTTAGGCCCTTGCCCCATTAGAGCTAGCACTTTTAAGTCTTTTTTTAATTTGAAAAGCAAAATCACAAACCCGATCTTCATAATTTTTGAGTTTAAATAGATTGGTCTGACAATGTCAACTCATTTTTTCTGCTCTATAAGGAGTTGCAGTTTGTAATATTCACATGTCAAAATCAACTATCAACAAAAACTTATAGTTATTTCGTGTTATCAAACATTTTTATATATACATGCTAGAATCAATTATGAAATTGAAAAGTTGATAATAGCATCTTATGAGATAACTATGCTTTTGAATTCATAGATAATTTTGACATGTATAGGGGTGCTTGGTGACTTATTCTTTCTCCTACGGCAAAAAAATAATAATAATTTTTTTCTCTTGAGCATTACTCCCTCCGTCCTAAGAAACAACTATGATTTCTACTTTGTCCTTATATAAGAAACATTTGTAAAATGTCTTAAATTTTCTTCACCCCTATTAATTATTTATTTGAATACTTAATATATTTATTATTTTATTTTTTAAAGTATCGTTCTTTTTATTTTAATGATTTCCTCATTCTCTCATTTACTCTCTCTCTCGTAAATAAAAGTATTTTTTAGAGAAATCTTACAACTTTTACATATTTATTGTATTTAACTAATTTTTTGATCTATGTAATTTGATCAAGTGTTTCTTATATAAATAGAGGCGGAGTACAAATTTAAGACTTTGAATTTAAACCATCCAAATTAAATTGGATAACTCAAATCATATCATATTAGTAAGCACTATTGTTGTGATGAGTTGTGAAATTAATAAGAACTTTTGGTAACTACAAATAGTAAGAATCATTGTAAATTTAAAACATTATGGAGAGAGATCTAACTAATGGCCAAAACAATGGGTGTTTAATTTGTCCCGTCCCAATCCTGATGAACTCAGGACCGGACAAGACGAGACGAAAAAAATTTCAGAATGGGACAAGTACAGGAGGAGACAACCAGGATTTTTTAAAAAAATTATTTATTAATAATAATTATTATATTTTTCAATTTACTTATTGATAATAATTATTTTTATAGTAATTTTTAGCTCTTAAGAGTATTATCTCAACAAAATCTCCTTCCTTGATAAAATAATTCATAAAACCATTATATAGTGTTTCTTTTACGGTATTTTTTTTACAGTATTGTTTTTATACTTTTTTTATATACTATATAATTGAGCTTTTTGTATAACATTTTTAAAAAGCCTAATAAAAAATAAGCATTATAACATTAAAAAATACATATAAAAACTTATAGTTTTTTCTAAAAAAAGAAAAACAATTAGGACCGGCGGGACCAAACCAAAACAGAACACGGGACAAAAGTCTTGTCCCATCCCTGTTCACTAGGATGGGATCGAGACGGGCCTGTCCCGGTCTCATCCCGTGAATACCCATAGCCAAAACCCTCAACAATGAATATAATAAAAGAATTAAAGGATACAATCTTTTTTAACTTATTGATCATCATGCAGGTACATGAAATAATGGGCTAAGAACTAATTAAGAAGCAATATAATCCCCTAATGTAAAAAGTCCTAATCCCAATTATTCCGTCCTAATTTGAAGAGTAGATAAATCATTAATCAAGAGATTAAGAACCCCATCTTATTGGATTGAAGGAGAAGACTCATCAAAAATTTTCCAACCCATCTGCATTATTTTCTGATCCAAATTGCAGCCTCAAGCACTCAGAAACACCACCGTATGTATAAAGACAAGCTGAGAATTTTCTTTCATAATATTTCATCCTAAAAGTTTCTCTGAGAAATGATGCTTCGTAATTTTCGGCATCATTTTCATATCCGTCTTGCTGATCCATTGTTGGCCCCATCATCTCTTCTGCTATCTCAAATGGAGAAGAAGAAGACGAAGAACAAACCGTTGATCCCACGTTATCCAAAAACTGGAAATCCACGAGCCGCCACATGTCAGATTCGAATCTAGTTTCAATGTTTTCCTCATCATTCACTTTCAATTGCTTCCCAGAAGAATTTTCTTCGTTAAATCCTCCTTCATCCAAGTTAGTCTTGTTTCCTGATCTAAAACTGACTACGTTTGAGAGAAAACTATTGTCTGAGTCGTCTAGAAAGTGGTGCAACTGGGATTCTAAACCTGTTTGGTTACTGGGAAAATAATGGCTGACTTCAGAACTATTATCAGATACACAGTCGCGGTTTAGCCTAGAAAGCATGAGATTAGCCATCTCATTTTCTTCTGATTTTCCTTCACTTTCTCCTTTTTCAACTCCCAAATTCATTTTCCTCCCCCACCCCTCTTCAATCACTCCATCACTACAAAGTTCACCACCATTATTATCAGATCCAGGAAGGAAATAACCAAGCTGGGTCAACTTTGGTTCTGCTGCTGTTTCTTCTTCTTCTGTTTGGTTACTGGAAAAATTACAAGAAGAAGCAAGGTTTCGAGCTTTGAGCCTAAGAAGGATGAGATTAGCAATCTTTCTGGGAAGAACTGGATTTGCTGGGGAATTACTAAACTGAGAAGGCCAGAAGTTTCTGCGAGTGTTCGCTCCACGAAGCAAGCAAGCTGCTTCATCATAAGCTCTCGCAGCTTCTTCTGCAGAATCATAAGTCCCTAACCAAACTCTTATGTTCTGAATTGTGTCTTTGATTTCAGCCACCCATCTCCCTGAAGGTCTCTGACGAACCCCGATGAATCTCTTTCTTGTTGATCTTCGAGCTTTCAGAAAACTAGCAGCCATGGCGGCTGCTTCTGCCCATTCAGTCTCTCCCACTTCACTGTGTTCCCTCAGTTTCACCATTTTTGTGTGTATCAAGTTTCAAACTTTGAAGGAGATCGTCATGCGTATTTATATGGAATTCATAAGTTGGAAATGTTTAGCATGAGTGAGATTTTTGAGAGTGTAATAATTAATGATTTTGTGTTATATTATTTGTCCTTAAATCTGATTCGGCATTTTTAGATTGGTAATATTGGATTCAGAAGCTGACACAAGTTTCATTTTCATTCATGAGGAGAGTTCGAAGATGTTAATTAATTAGTAGTATGACTCAGTAAACTAAACTTCCAAAACAAAAACGCGTGCTCAGAAACCACCATAATTAATAATGGAGTTACTTAGTAGTTGATTAAGTTTAAAAAGAAATTAGAGAGATCTTTCACATAGTGCTCGTAGATTATATATTTTTCATAATTTAATAACTAGTTTCTCTTATATTTGAATGAAATTTTAAAAATGAGCAGTATAATACATTATCCAAATTCGTTTGTGTGAAAAAAATTATTGAAGTTTAGGCTCTTTTTTTTCCCAGTTCAGACTTAATTTTTTCTGTGGGATGAAGATACTGTTCCATGGCTAGTAAAGCTCTTGCAATTTTTTACCACCAAACCATTGGAAAGATGGGATTAGATAAAAACTAATCCAAGTTCAAGTCTGGTCATATATTAATTCATTAATTCATAACAGAATTAGGAGCATTATTCACTAAAAAATTTGGCTCTTATGTTTTAAGTTGAAGCAACATATTCCATATGTATCCCAAAATAAAAATTCCTTTATTTCTTTTTTATAGGGTTAAGGTGTAATTTTAGTAACAAAATTTATCCAAATGGGTATTAGGCACCATAAAGTTTATATTTGTGCAAAAATATACATGACATTGTTAAAAGCAGGCATCTAATACCACTTTGTTAATGTCCATTAGTTTAACATTAGTGAGGCCTACAAAAGTCAATTTTAATGCGCTATTTTAACAACAAAATTTGCATTAAATGACACTATACACATAAGGTTTACTTATGTGCAAAAAATATACATGAACTTTTTAAGAAGAAAAAAAAAATCATCAAATTCTATAAATGTTAATTAACTTTATTCTTTTAGGTCCCACAAAATATCCATTTTTTCTTCACTCATTCCCACTTCCTCCTCTCCTTAGTATAAGGATTAGTTTAAAAAATTAAAAAAAAAGGATAAAAACTTAATTATAACATATATTATATAATCTCTAAAATATTTATACTCATAATTAGATTTTATATTAATTATAAGCTAAGTAAATTAATTTGGAGAAAAACAATAGATATAATATTTTAAAGTAATTTATATAATTTCTTTAATCTCCTCAAATTAGCCAACTGCGTCTTATATTAAATACTACAGGTGGTAGTTGAGTGGAAGCAATGAGTCTTGTATCTTAGAAGGAAAAGATGTTGTCTTGGATAAATACATATAAAAGACTTCGAGGTTGAGAAAAATAACATGACATAGAGTGTGTGTTGACTATGATAAGATAAAGATAGATAGACTTGAAAGTAGGAATGGATGGAAAGAAAATGTAGCATTTGGAGGGATCTAAAAGAATAAAATTAATGGTTGTCTATGGAAATTGATGAGTTTTATTATTTTCCCCCCTTTTAGAAAGTTGATGTATATTTTTGCACCTAAGTAAACTTTATAGTGCCTAGTACCCCTTGATCTAAACTTTATTGTTAAAAATACACCTTAATATTGACTTTGTGACTTACTAGTGGATGTTAATGGTATGGTACTAGATGCCCATTTTGACAACTTCATGTATATTTTTACACCCGAATAAACTTTATAGTACCAAATACTTCTTAAAGTAAACTTTGTTTTTAAAATTGCGCTTTAATTTTTTTTTTATAAGAAAAATTCCTTTATTTCATTCTTAGGGGAAAAGATTGACATCTCGAAGGCTCTTTGAAATGAAATATTTCTTAACTAACTCAGTCCTTTAACTATGATTTATTGTCACTTAGTCCCTAGACTTTTGATTCATATATGACTCAATCTCTTATCTTTTTACTTTTTATATTATTATTCTTGTCATCTAATCTCGTGGCAAAAATTGCTTCAGACTAATCTCCATAGGTGGATCTTTTTTAAATACAATCATCTCTAAGATCAATCATCAATGTTCAACGATGGTAAATATCTCTTGCATTTGATGTTCATGAAATGAAAATAATTATCATTATCACTGGAAATATGATAGACTCCAACAATTAAATACTTGTACACTATTGTGGCCTGTTGCAGTTTTCCTCTGGTAAGCGCTAATAAGTACAAAGGATAATATTTAGGTTAAATTTTTTATTTATTATGTCAAGTTTTCTGATCACATATAACTATGTATCTTATTAATTATAAATTTATATAAAAAAGTAGAACATATGATCACATATAATTAGAAAATTTGACGAAATGGATACAAAGAATTAGGTGTAAGTATATTCCAATTACAAAATCAAACTGTACATTTTTATATATGCATTTACCCTCAATATATAGATCCCGTTAGTGGGAAATTCTGTTATTTTCCCCCATGATAAGAAAAGCAAGATGAGCAATATCTATTATGTTTTTATGATCATTTTTATATAGTAGTAATTTTAATAATATATTTCATTCAGTTCTGCTGCTAATGATTGGAACCTCTGTTGTAATGCAATATAATGGCCACTTTTTTATATAATAATTTAAATTTAAAATTAAAATATCTTCATAATTGTATTTTTCTTTTTAGCTTTCGGCAAGCGAGAATCGGGTGCCAATATCAACTTCTTGTAGAAATCACTCTTTCTTGATGACTTGTGGGGCTGAATGATTGTACCATTCTGCTTGTACAATGCGCTGTACTTATCTATCTTCGTTAATATCAAACTAAGTGGGAGGCCATAAATTTATATTATATATTGTCTCATCAACTCTCAAGAACAAGTCAATAATAAGTCATAACTCATAAATTTTTATAATTTATGAATAATATAATTATTTAAAGTTTTCATATTATATATATAATTTATCAAAAGGAAAGCATTACAAGTGTTGGCAACTGTTTGCTTCAATGGCTTCTTACCTCAATTGCTGCATGCTATTATCATGATATATAGTTGAAGAATTTTATTATTTTCAGATGATATTGTTTGCTATTGGTGATGTATGATTTTTTTTATATAAAAAAGAATTTTTTTAATAACTAAGAGTATCCTCAAGTCACTTAGATTTGAAACTAATTTCTGTCGAGTTGAGAGTATTAAGGTTAAAGTCCTTTCAACAAATTCGTTTTTTGAGATTCGAACTTGTGTTTTCTTCTTTACGGTTCAGATTGCTTACTATATCAACCAACAGCTTCTTGATAAATTTTTTTTTACACATTATAGATATATAGTAATTGGAATCTGGAAGGAAAATCAGAGGTCGTCTTAGAAAAGTTTTTTTTAATTAATCTTTTGCACAAAAATCCATAAAAGATAAAGGGTGGAGGTGCATTCAATACCCTCAGGTATTTTTTCAGGTGCATCCAGCATCTTGAGTAATTTTGTGATGTATCTAGCATTTTAAAGTATTTTGCGGTACATCTAACAGCTTGAAGTATTTTTCAGATGCGTCCAGCACCTTGAAGTTTTTGTTTTTCCCTTGCCTAGGTGCTAGATGCACCAAAATATACTTTTAGGTGTTAAACGCATTTGAAAAAATTATTTCAAAGTGCTCGATACATAAAAAAAATTCCAATGTGCTGGACACACTTAAAAAAAATATTTCAAAGTGCTAAATGCACCACAAAATACTTTAAGGTGCTGATGCATCCAAAAAAATATTTCAAGGTGTTAAATGCAACTTACCCTGAAGATAAAAGCCTCTAGTTAACAATACATTAACATCAATTTCTTTGCCGAAAATTCTTTTCATTATTCCTTTGTTTGTAGTGGTCATGATTAGTTCCTATTTTAAATGGTATTTTATATTCTATGTATTTATATTCTATATATAATACTACCTCCGGTTCTTAATATAAAAGTTCGTTTGATTTTTATTTTGGTTCTAAATATAAGACCTCAATTCATTTTGTCTCTTACATTTATTTTTTTTCCTAAGATAGTCCTTATGATAATAATAGTTCTAGTCAATCTCAATATATTTGATTAGCAAGAATATGTTAGGAAATATAACACTTATTTATTATAAATAAATAACTTAACTAATTTTTTTAATTTACTCAAATTAGTCAACCAACTCTTATATTAAGGATAAGAGATAGTATATAATAATATGTGTTATTCATTAAATTATGAACAATACACTCATATTAGATTCCCTGCAAAACCATATACTTAAACTCTATTCTTTTTTTTTTAATGTAGTTTTTAAAAGTATAATTTTGTTGTAATTTTATTTTTGAAAATGATCAGATTGTTTCTGAAAATTCTTTCTTTCTTTCTCTATTTGTCCTTTTTTTTAGAACAATGTCTCGAGATTGAAGCAAAATTATATTAAACTCACAATGATGCTAGCTGGTTTACAGTATCCTATAAAGTTCAGAAAAGGGTATCTAACAATTTCTTGCGTGATATCCAGAGAAAAACACTAGAAGAGACAAAGACAACCCAAGAATCTGCAACATTCCCAGTTTTGGCTTTATCACTGTTCTTTTAACCTCTAAAACTCTTTTTTTTTTTTAACCTGATAAATTGATATTTTCGTTAAAGCAGAGTTAACAAGAGTTTCAAAATAAAAGAGCTAACAATAGTCCAAAGCTAAAAACCCTAAACCTAAATTGAGGGAACAACTATCGTCGAGTTCGCCGAAAATATGCCCACAGTCTTCTCGACAGAATTCTACAGAGAGGAAAATGTTATCATCGATACCAACACCATCAATCCATCATAAAGGGGTGGGGGTATGAATGAAACCCCTAAAGGACCCACCCCTCTTGTAGGCAAAATAACCACCAAGAAAGGTTGTTGAAACACCATGATAGAGCTCGTGGGAGATGA